GGCCACCCTGCCATATCCACTGGTCAGGTGAATGGTCTTACCTGAGAGCTCTTGTCCTAGCCACTTGGGTCAGACACCTGCTTCTCCATCATCAGTGAGCAAGGATGCCCAGTTTTTCCAGGCAGTAACTTTGAAAGCTTTGTGTTCAGACTTATAAAAATTGGAAGTCAAGCAATGAGACCCTTCTAGAGCTCTTAGGAATAATTTTATCTGGGAATAAAATTTTCCCAAGACAATAATAGTCTAACTTTAGACTATTAATATAATTCTATTAAATTATTCTATTAATTTATTCTAATAAATGAAATACAATTAACCATTAAGTATCAAATTGACACTCCCCTTAAGCAATTCAGTCCAGGTAGAGATAGATGAAAGAAAGGATCAGAAATAAAGGCCCCTGACCTTTCCTGGTGGAAAAGCATTCTTCCATTGGTAGGTGCAATGCTTGAAATACTCCTTGTGGATCTGATGAGAGGAGGGTTAGTTATAGTATTGGGTTTCTCCAGAAAAATAATGCATTTAATGTATTTAGTGCCCAACATGGAAGTGCTGAAAGATAAAGAAGGCACAAAAAGAGAAATATTTTCTCTAGATTGTAACCTGAGAATTATTTGCTACAATCTATAGGACCCAGACTGAGTTCAGCTAAATAGCAAGTGTCTGACAGATCAATTCTCTGTAATGGCTTCATTTGTAGTGATTCTTTTTACTTCTGAGAAGAAATTAGGTTCCTGGACTTGAAGAAATCTGAGATCCATAATGATCTGTAGTATGTCAATTACTGCTCACTGATGTTATCAATAAAAGAACCTCAGTGTTCACACAGAGCAGTGGTCCTGAAGCTAACGTGGCTGTTGTCAAACTGCCTGCCACATCTTGTGTGATTTCTGTGTCCATTAGTGACTTCTGATGTCTTTATTTGACTATGCTACTAACCAGAGTGTAGGGGAATTATGGGTTTGATTTCCTCTGCATAACTCTCGTTAACGTAGTAAATGTATTTAAGGTATTTTGATCTGTCAGTTGCTTAATAGTGTTAAATGTAGTGCCAGAATTAGGTGACAATGCAACCAATATTATCTCCTCACCTTTATACTTTAGATTCTGAGGTTGATCAAGGAACCAATATGGTATGGAAAATGAGAGTGTGTGCATGTATAAATGCCTGGAGAATATCAGCCTGCTTATACTTAAAAACAGCTACAAAAGGTAATTGTAATAATTGGTAGCATATATTGAACCTTTAGTCTGTGCCAGATACTAAGAATGTTTTAGGAATTGTCACAGCTCTTTGATGTAAGTGTTCTTATTATACCCATTTTAAAGATAAAGAGCCTCAAACAAAAGACTTTGAGTAATCCTCATGTAATCCTCAGGTGCTTGACGTTGGAATTTGCACTCATGTAATATGATTGCAATGTCTGTGAATTCTATCATATGCTGTGGCTACTATTTCTTAATTTCTGCTTTTGTTCATCAATGCAGAAAAGCTCAAGTGTGAATATAGACTGTCATACCAAAAAAAAAAAAAAAAAAAATTCACTGCACTGGAGTAAGTTCTGACTCAGTGACTTCTCCTTGGGTTTCTGAGGCAGTATCTCTACAGAAGTAGATTGCCCAGTCTTCCATCTGAGGAGTGGCGGTGGGCTTGAACCACCAGACTTCTGGTTAGCAGTCAAATGCCTTAGGTAAATCCAAATGTGAGTGATCAGTATAGTGACATTGAGGAAGAAGAAGACAGAGAGCTACGTGGGAGGTACAGACAACAAAGATGAACCGTTTTGCATGTATACTACTGCGTTGTCAGTGATGACAAGCATTGATCTAGAGGTGGATAGATGAGTGGACAGTATGTCCATGATCATGTATAGGGTTAGCAGACAACGTTTCTGTATGTGTATTTGTATGTGTTATAAGAATATTCAAGTATTAGAGTAGAGTTGACAAGGGACGAGGTTGTGGTAGCTTCTTGGCATAGCCAGCTATCTGGAGAGAGTGAGTAGTTGGACCTGTGGGCTCAGGACCATGATCGTAGGGGACATCAAGCTCAATTGGCATAACATACTAAACACAAACACTGTTCTACAACCTTCTTTGGTGAGTAGCTACTGGGATCTTAAAAGCTTGCAAGCAGCCATCTAAATGCAACAATGGGTATCTCCTCATCCAGAGCAAAGAAGAATGAAGAAAACCAAAGATGCATGGCAACAATTTGTCTAAGAGACTAATAGACCATATGATCCTCAGCCTATATCACCAGGACACAGAAGAACTAGATGGTACCCTGCTACCACTGTCTACCACTTGGAGGGGGATTGGTGCAGGAGATCCTGGATAGAATGGGAGAACAATGTGGAACAAAACTCAAAATAATAAAAAACAACTAGGTTTGCTGGTCTTATAGAGCCTGGTGAGACCCCTGAGACTGGCCCCTAGCTACTTTTCAAGTCTGGAATTGAACTCACTCCTGTGTCTTCCAGCCCAACAAAAGACATGCATCTGGGGTAAACATTTATATCAAGTAAATACACTACTTGGAGTGATCAATAATGGGAGAATAGAAGGACAGTATTTGCACACAGAGACAGCTCAAGGGGCAGGAGTGCATGGGAGGGAAGGACACAGGGAAGAGGTAACTATAGGGAGGAAGTGGGAAGAGAGCTGTTGCATTTTGGAGATTGCAGTGAATGCCATGAAACAAAATGTGTATGAACTGATGTATGGACAAGGAATTTTCTCTGTAAACTCACTCAAATTACAATAAAAATTTTAAAAAGAAAAAAAAATACTACAGGAAAAAAAAAGAAAAATCCTCATTTGTATTCATTTAGAAGTTTAAATTTCATATACCAATACTCAAAGTATGTTAAAATTCCTCTTCAATGTTACTCAGTACATTGTCATCTTGGAAAAAAATTCTTGGCAAGATGAAATCCTCTAAACTGACTCCAAATTGATTATGTAAACATGACATTCATATAGCATGTGCTTGTACCCTACTTCAGATAAAATATCTTGCTGTTTTCATCATTAATGACTGTAGTATTAAAACAAAAAAATGCAGATGATATTGGCTTATTGTACAATAGATTTGTTACTAGTATATGAATTAAAAAAATCAAAATGAATGAATAGCCCAACCTCCTATGAAGCAGATGTATGGGATGTCCATCTATTGTCATAGCTAATTTTTTCATCCTAAAATATTAGGTAGCTTGGGTTTCACCAATTCTAAAGAAGATAGATTTATGGCATTTTGAGAGATGTGTTCTATGTTATGCTCAAAATAAAAAAAAAAAAAAAGGAATTTAAAATAAAAGAATAGGCAACTCAAAGGAGGCCCTATGTACATGTAATTACCCTATGTTAGAGAAGGTTGTGGGAGCTCTGGTAGCATAGTGCCTAAGGCACTTGATTGCTAACCAGAAGGCTGGTGGTTCAAACCCACCAGCCA